CTGACCAATGTTCCCAACGTAACGGGAGGAACTAAGACAAAGACTAAGACTGGCAGCATATTATGTTCTTCCTGCAATTCTTTGTATTTATTGGTTTCTCCCTCACACCTAGCCTGTCCCCCTTTTTTCTTCTCTCCCCCTTCTTCGTTGAACTCTTGTCGTTATACCACATTTTCAAACGAACGCCGAACTGGTCCATTTGTTTCAGACAGTTTCATAACCATAGGGGTTTTTTAGTCTCTATCAATTCCCTTGTCTTCCCCTTGTTCTCGTATATCTGATTATAACGTTTCATAACCATATGAAGTCTTATAGTTTCTGCCAGTTGAACTTAGAAAATATGGCACGATACTCGCGCACTCCAATCATTTTATAATAATTTAGAATATTATAATCCTTTAATTCGTTAAAGACTGACCAGAGGCCAGCCGCTTTCTTACACTTCCAATGGTGTTACCTTAACCTTACTTCATAACGTCTTTGGACAGTCTTATTACACAAAGAACACAGTGGTAAATTAATATCGAATTTCCTTAATTAACAATAAAGTAACTGTTGCCTAATCCTGAGCAATGTTTCTTCTATAATGTTTCCGATTTCGTCAAGTAAGACATGCCTGAAAGCATAACAGTTCAAACACGAAACAGCCCGGTATGGCCAGGTGGTTAGGGTACTCGACTCGCAATCTGTGGGTCGCGGGTTCGAATCTCCGTCCCACCAAACATGTTCGCCCTTTCAGCCGTGGGGGCGTTATAATGTGACGGTCAATCCCACTATTCGTTGGTAAAGGAGTAGCCCAAGAGTTGGCGATGGGTGGTGAGGACTAGCTGCCTTCCCTCTAGTCTTACACTACAAAATTAAGGACGGCTAGCGCAGATAGCCCTCGTGTAGCTTTGTGCGAAATTAAAAAAACAAACAAACAAAGAAATCAAACACGAAACAGCAATGGAACAGGTTTAAATATATAAAAGACGTTGAGCACCAGGAACTTGTTATCAGAGAATTTCATATCTATATGCCCCCTCCCCCACTCGGTGGTTTAGTAGTAAGTCTAAGGGTTTATAATGCTAAAAATCTGGTTTCAATATCCGCGGTGGGCAAAACACAGAATACAAATGTATATAGCCAAACATTGTTAGTGCTAATTAGATTGTGATCTCATATTAAGGTCTATTTAAACAAAATACTATAAACAATAACTTCTTTAACGCTAGTGTTTGAGAAATACCATATCTCAAATTCTGTTAGACATATTGTACTCTTAGTATAGAACTTTCAATCTTATGTAGTATGAAAGGTTGAAATTCCACTTGTTCAACATGTATTTTTGTTATCGTTGTTTTGTGTACCAGTTGGAAACCATAAATAAATAAAGTTTTATTATGATATTACACAACTCTCCAAACCACACTCACAATTTTAGCCGACTTCAATGCTCCAGTCTTAAAAAGATATTAAATGTAGGAATCAATAAATATACCATGTGAAGAACAAAATACAAGTGAAGGGAAACAAATCGCTATTGATTTAATACTGATTAGACATAAAATTAGGATCACTTTTTGCCGTAACACTACCTTGAACACAGCATGACACATGTGGAGAATGAATTATTTCATTTCATCACATATAACGAGATGCATGATTTGTCAACCGGATTTCATCACATATAACGAGATGCATGATTTGTCAACTGGCTTATACACAATTAAATGTTCAAGTTCATTCGAAAGATGTTTCGTCGAGTTGAAATTTGGTGGTTGTTTTTAGCGCAAAACTACACAAGGAGCTATCTGCACTCTGTTCACCTCGGTGAATCGAACCTAAGATTTTAGTGTCGTAAACTAGTTAACTTACAGTTGGCCCACCGGAAGACATGTTGGTAAGGGATAAAATGATTGAAGTCACTATTATACTCTTTGAACTAATTTTAGGTGGAAGAAATCCCGCCAGATCGCTGCAATATCCTCTTGGAAGAACCCTTGTTCTTTGGAGTTGAAATTTGGCAATTTAGGGTAGATATTATAAGAAGAAACGTCCAATATTATTTGTTCTTGAAGGAATTGTTTATTTGAAACACAGTATGTCGTATGCACACATTACAAACCTGCACAATTCTGTTTATTTTAGTCATTCATCAGCAGTCGTGGACCGCAGTTTTTCCTAGTGGTAGGTGTATTCCCTTTCGATTGTCAGTTGAGAATCTCTGGCGACAGATGTCTTTAAACAGCTAGCCCAAGTTCAAATTTATGGTTTGTCAGTGTGCGTTAAAGAGGCCCTAATAATATGAGCAATAACTTTTTCATACTTATTTTACTGACCATCAACATCTTAAACAATTATAATGAGCATTAAAATTCAACTTTTGATACTGTAAAATTATTAACTCCGTTTATTAGAATATTTCAAAGTCTGCTTGAACCTTACAATTATTATTTTTAATACGATCTAACTTTCAAACGCATAAAATGGGGTGTTTAGAATGACGAAAACATTTGTTTTCCTTCATGCTTAAGTGGAAAAATTTACTTTCAGTATATTCATATAACTGTAAAATGTATCAACAAGTCAAAGAAATACGTCCTTATTCTTATACTTAAAAAATATTAAAATTATCTTCATGTAACTAAGAAATGTGAAATGGAAAGTACAATCTTTGTATCTAAACATATATTTACATTAGTTAAAAAAATAAGGACAATATCAAGTGATAAGTTATTACTTTACTTGGTATACATTCTTTGTTGTGTTAGAGTTTTTGTGAAGATCGTACATTTTACAATAAGAACAATATAAAGTGATAAGTTATTACTATACTTGTTAGAGTTAAACAATAAGAACAATATCAAGTGATAAGTTATTACTATACTTGTTAGAGTTAAACAATAAGAACAATATCAAGTGATAAGTTATTACTTTACTTGGTATAAATTTTTTGTTGTGTTAGAGTTTTCGAGAAGATCGTACATTTTTGCTCAACTTTCGTGGATTTAATCCCACTGTCTTTCATCCTTGGATTTTTCGTGTCGTTCACGGCCACCAGATGGTGGAATCAGTACATGGCCATCCCGTGGCCAGACAAGTAAGTTTATTTTGTTTTATTTTAATAAGTTCAGATTGATTTCGTGTAATTATAACTAGCGTTCACGCTATTGTAACTTGAAAAATAAGTAATATATAGAAATATTTCAAGATATATATATATATAATTTTTTCTGTGAGAAAATTAGAAAAGGCTATAGCATTTATGACTTTTACCAATCATTTCGCTTCTTTTCTAAACATGCTTAGAAAAGTAATTGAAATTAATCTTCAAAAATAAACCATAAAAATTAGGTTTATCTCTTTCTTACCTAAGTATGAAGATTTCTTTTTTTAATCCATTACGTCACACAAAAATTAATTTCCTGTTTTAAATTTTAGAAAAGGAAAAAGCATTTCATGATTATAACTCATTTTAAAATTTTTTCGTTCTTTCTGCTTTCATGTAGTTGCTCCTAATGTTGACCGAAAAAGCTGTTCGTATTTAAAAACTAGCAAAATATTTTTTTGTGTTTATACTCCTAGAACAAAACTTTTTTAAATCACTGTTTTTAATTCATAAATCTTTGATTTTTATATTAAGAATATTTATATTGCTTTTGCTTACTGTATATGTCATAGCTAGCCTAAATATTACTGAAAACTGGAAGAAAACCTGACGAATCACTTAAACTGACCAATCATCAACGGAAAACAGCCAGATGAAACGTATATGTTTATTTATTTTTGGCTTTCTAGGATTTTCTATGAGAAATAGCAGTAGTTTTATACATGATCTCTAATCTTATGACCATGTTTTATTATAAGGCAAAATATTACATTAAGTAGAATTACTACACTAATCATAGATAATTGAGGAACCTTATATTTATTATGTTTAGAGTCTCGAAATTTTAAGGATTATCCATTTGCATATGCATTTTATTTCTTTAAAGTGATAAACGGTTCTTTCTTTATTTCTGATGCAGGATTATGAACATTCTTGCCCTCTATGTGCCGGGAGCAGATGAAAGTAGCCGAATGTTGCGTCGAACCTTGATGCGTTACCTGAATCTTGCTCTTGTTCTGGTGTTGCGGTCCATCAGTATGGCGGTAAAGAGAAGGTTTCCTACTAAAGATCATCTTGTTGAAGCTGGTAAGAAACAAGCTGATTTTTAAGGAAAGTAGTGGTGGAAATTGTATTTAGAAGATATGAAAAATGTTAAAAGAACCTTACGAAGTCTTTGCTGTTATTATGTAGATCGTACCAGACAGTTTTCCCTTCCAAACTGTTTGCTTGTATCCTTAATACTTCCTGCATTTCCTGTGAGTAATGATTCAGCGATATCAAGTAAGATACTAAAAGTTATGTACTAATTTAATGTAAACCTAAGCCATCTCAAACACAACCTCTAATCTTTCTCATCTTCAAGAAATTATCAGAATTTGGAACTGATTTTCTGTTATTTATTACTCGATTTTCAGAATTCCTGCTGATATCATGGCCTTCACATCCGATATTGTTACTATTCGTTAACAGGATGTTTCGTACAAGTTCCAATTTGTTATCACATTTTAACAGGATGTTTTGTCAAAGTTTCGATTTGTTATTATACTTTAACGGGCTATTTTGTCCCAGTTCCAAGTTGTTATTATTTCCAGATTGTTACTATACTTTAACAAGATATTTTGCCCAATTTCTAAATTGTTACTATATTTTAACATGATACTTTGTCCAAGTTCCAAGTTGTTATTATATTTTAACAGGATATTTTGCCAAATTTCTAAATTGCTACTATACTTTAACAGGATATTTTGTCCAAGTTCCAAGATATTATTATACTTTAACAGGATATTTTACCCAATTTCCAAATTGTTACTATACGCAGGATGTTTTGTCCGAGTTCCAAATGTATAAAATTTATCTAGCGTGGCCTGAATAACTGATAAACTGTAACTAAAATTCTTTCCGTAAATTCGTTTTACAAACAGGCATGTTGTATACTTAAACTCCTTTATCAAAGATTTGAAATTTTACTTAAAGATAACCGTGAAAGTTACGTTATATACTCCTTTTTTTTACTTTTGTCATATTTTATTCAAAACAAGCAGATCAACCAGAACTGGTTTATTTCAAAATCAGATACAGTCCTCTAACGTTGCCAAAGACTATATATCCCTCTTAGAAAATCGAAAGCAGTGGAAAGAAAAGAGAATACAGATGAGCTGGGAACGTGATAATAACTATAGGCTAATTTATTCTATGTTTATATTTCAATTAGAATGAATAACGGTTTTTCTCACCACATAATTCGCTTGAGATAATCATAAACATAAACTGGAAATTCAGAAATATTCTTATGAATAAATATGGTTAAGGCTGAACTGTTATTCCCCTACTCCATCCTTCTACCCCATACAAACTTAAGTGTATTGCTTTTTATTACAAAATACTCCAGTAGGATTGTTTGTTTGTAATTAAGCACAAAGCTACACAATGGACTATCTGTGCTTTGCCAACCACTGGTATTGAAATGCGGTTTCTAGAGTTGTAAGTCCACTGGGGGGGGGGGCTCTAGTAGAAACTGAAATAAGAAAAAAATCCGGATAAAATGTGTCATACATTTTAGGGTTAGATAAAATGATGCAATACAGTTATCGAAACCTTGTTTAGGAAGACATTTTACTTGCGATTTAGAAGAAGTAGATTTGATTCTTTCCACATTTTTTTTATTTGTTATTACTGCTATAAATACTATAAAAACACAAAGAAATGTGAACACTTTTGAAGAGTGGTGTCTCTCAGCAGCAGACTGTTAACGCTGTACTAATCATTACTTTTTCTCCCCTCCCCCTCCCTTTTTCTTGTACTTTGGGTCCGGTTAAGTTATTTCATGTTCATGATAACACAAGAGAAACTTGAAATGTCGTCTAATAGAACTTGTATACTTATCATATCTCAGCTTAAGTTATTTAATTTTATAACGGGACTCATTTAGTCTATTTTATCAATATTGAGTAAGTAAAAAAATGCATGTGATTAATCAAACTACAGAAATGTATTGCCTTGGAAAAATAAGCATGTTTCATGAATATTTAATTTGAATCACAAAGCTATTTAATGATAACACTGTGTGATCCAATTTTGATTACAAGTGACGTCATGCTTGCTAAAAAAGAATTTTTACCAGTTTGAAGTGATTAACCGACCATGTTTTTACACTGTTTGTGGTAGAAGTGTAAGTAATATTACTATGTGATATTTATAATTCATGGGTTGTGGGTCTTTATAAATGTGACAGTCAAATCCAGTGGCTTACCACAAAATGGCGGGGCTTCCCCGCAAAAATCATGTTTGCCCCCCTCCATGGACGTTTGTGAAAAAATGAATTTAGGGCTGGCTTGGTTCTACCCTGAAATATTCCATAAAATTTTCGGAGTGTTCATAGTTTCCACTGATACAGTACTTTTTTAGGAGTTCTTTACGCAGTAAACATGTGCCTCTGACATGTGCCGGATGTACCTGGGTAAGATAAAATAAATTGGGGCCCCCTATACTCGTCCCTCTCGCGTTGCGGTGATTGTGGGGAATTTATTACGCTACTGGTCAAATCCCATATTCGATTAAAGTAACCCAAGAGTGTGCGAATGGTGCTAAAAGAAAATAGATTATATGTATATATATATAACTGGTGGCATTTTTTATCTTTAAATTTTTGTTATGTGACAGAGTGACAAATACTAAAACACGCGCTCCCCAGTAGCACAGTGCTGCGGCCTTATAACGCTAGAACGGGTTTCGATACCCATGGTGGACAAAGCACAGACAGCCCCTTGTGTAGCTGTGTGCTTAACTATTAACAAACAAATAAAAAACGCCATTCATGATGAGCTTGAAGGTTTCGCAGAAGAAAAAAAAAGCTGAAATATGTTAGCTGAAGAAGCAAAATCAATATTCTACTTAACAATTAAATTTGCTTAATTAGAACTCACGCAGAAAATATCAGTCTCTTTAACCTCATTTATAATTCGAAATTCACTCGGCATTAAAACTAATTCTTATCAATAGAAATATTATGTAAAATCTCCAGAAAAACAAATGAAATGAAAGGATCTCACACGGAAATGTAAAAACCAAACATAATAACATCTGATTAAAATGTCACTCCCGGCTGTGATTAAAAGTGTCTTATAGCTCAGAATAATTACGATTGTTTGTTTGTTTCGGATAATCGCGTAGAGCTACACATCGGCTATCTCCACTAGCCATACCTACTTTTAAACTTTTCATCCGATACTCGTACGTTAATTTTTTCAACTCTCATTAATACTAATTAGTTTGTAAATAGAAATATTATATGTTTGGTGACATAATTACAAACAAATGTTCATAAAAATAATCCTCTTTCGTTCTTGACCCCCACCTCGTATGTTAACAACTATCAAAGAATATTAAAAAATATTCATATAACTGTATTCATATGTCATGTAAACTTTAAACCTTTGCTGAACCAGGATCTACACACATGCTAGTTCTAGTGGACATCAATCATGTCTTATTTTTTATTATTATTTGTCAAAGAGAATTGGCTAGGATCCCTACAAACCGTGTCAATCTGTGCGAGTTTTGCGTCCCCGCACACATGGATTTACTCGACTTAGATACGACTGCGACTGCGCTAGCTAATATTCTGACATGCTAGCGACCTCTATGCGAATTTTTCTTCTATTAAAGCACACCACATACTAAATTTAGAAACGTGATAAATTATTCACGAGTTCAAAATGTATTTGTGGACAAGAAGAAACATACTTTAAAATCATTTAATTATGAACCCCAAAAGCATTCTTAGATAAAGCTTGCAGTCATTTTAACCTACATTATTAGTACAGCTGTATAAATGTTAGTCGTGGCATTTCAGTGAATTTCTTCTTCTGAAATACATACTGCCACGAAACAGCGAAAAAAGAACGCGAAATTTTCTACACTTATAAAAAGCTATATTGATAATCATTAGTCTCACTAATGTATTTACTGCAAATTACTACAAATAAGACCAAAACGCTTGGCAACGAATATAAGACACTTCTATTCTTGGTGCTTTTTTAAAGTGCTCATTACTTTTTTGTATGAAAGGAAAGTTTCTAAGTAATTAGCTCACTCTGTAGCTGATCACAGATATGAGAATTCACAGTTTCTCTGGATGTAGACAGAGCAATGATGGATTAAGAATTTCACGTCTTCTCCAGGTTTCCTTACGAAGACGGAACTGGAGATGTTTCTCTCAGTGCCGTCAGTAGAATTCAACACGTTTTGGATTCCATGTACTTGGTTTATCAACTTGCTACGTGAAGCCAGGCAAGAGTGTCGAATTATAGACTCGAACGGACTAAAGCTCATTATGGAAGTAAGTTTAATTTTATGTTCAAAATTACAAACATAAAAAAAGCAACAACAACAAAAAAACACACATATAAAAGTTAGATAATATCATTTATCTGTCTATCGTGATATTTCCACCAATGATTAACCAAAAGGGAAAGAATGTTCATTTGCTTTCTTTGTTTCGATTCGCTTATTCTAGGATACACGTGTTTGGGAAATATAAATATCATCTTTCATGAAAATAATTGGGTAAGCTGAAACACAAGTAATTTCGTGTATAAAGTGATTACATGACTTATTATTGTAAAGTATCTTTTCTCTAATTATACGTTGTCTTCAATGTACTCTATACAATATAAATACAAATAGGAGGACTGATAAGATGGGTGACCAAAAGTCAGTATGAGAGTAAGTATTCAAGTAATATCTCATTGAAATATGTATAAAAAATCGAAGTTTTATGCCACCAATTTCAGGTCTATGAAGTCAACAAAAACAAAATGGTGGACGTTTACGTTTTGCCAAGAGAAGACGCTGTTGTTTCCTCCCCCCCCCCCAAAAAAAGTTTTACATATGCAGATAAGATGATTACATAAAAACACAAACAAACGTTATTTGAGCATGTTCGACCATTCTAACTAATAACATAATTTCTTGTAGATCATAATTATATTGATCATGCTGAATTTCTACAGTATTGTATCTGAAAACAATTAGAATCCATTACTGAAAAATACATTATTGAAAATTTCCTAATCATTAAACCATAAAGCCACATCCACGGTTTTGAGTGTTCGAACTCGTTTTTAACAGAAAAGCAAACATCTTAATACAGTACTTTATGAAATATGAAAACATCTAAATAATGTCTGAGGACGGGCTCAAATACGGGACTCAAAAGTCAGTAAACCAATATGAGCATAATGAGGCAAAATGACTTTGTGCTGTTGATATGACATGAGCGGTGAATTAGAACTATATACAAATGTTTTCATGTATATGCCTTTGTTTCTTGTTATACGTTTTCATTAAATGAATTTCTTTTCATCATAAAGGTCACTCTGAATGATCTGAATGACTCAACAGTTGAAATTATTGAGCGTGTTTAGAGGCATATCACGCTCGAATCTAGGACTATCCGATCACATTTACTTGTATTATTGTATAACCTATTACCTTTATACACAGTGTATCTGTATCGCTCTAGGTGTATCATTTACTACTTTTCCGCACAGTGTACGTACATTCTTTGGATTTTAACTTGACGAATATTCTATGACAATGTGTTATCTGGTACTGTGTTATTATTCTAGATGGATGACCGTGCTGGAAACGTTGTCGTTTTAAACAACAAAAATTTTCAACCTGTTTTCAGTTAGTTAGGATAGACAGATCTAATGCGCCTAGTGGATGAAAACATTTTTTAAAAACTCCTACGTAAGCATTTATAAGCATATTTGCTGCAATAACATGATATATACTTTGGGCCGTGGATGCGCTAGAAGAGTGACAGTCAGATCCAATATTCAGCTTGATAAGAGCAGTCCAAGAATTGACGATAAGTGCTGTTGATTAGCTGTCTTTCCTATATTCCATCAGTTCAAAATTAAGGACGGCTTAAGTGTATTTACGTTTCTTAATTGTTGTATCGAAAACTTTCTGATGACACACTTTGACTTAATGATTAACATCAGTTATACGGTGAAGCGTCAGTAAATCAAACACCTTTGTATGATTTTAATGAAATACAAAGTTTTCCAATTTTCAAGAGAAATAAATACAGAAGAAAATTCTAGATCGGGTAGTTATTTACCTTCAGTTTGGTTTAAATTATTTAAATTAAATAAACAACTGACCCGGACGTGACTCAAACACACAGCCTTCTGATCTGGAGTCAGACACGCAACCGTTGTGCCACCAGACCTATGAAAACTTTTGACGTAGGAAATAACTGATAGGTTATTTATTCATATGAATAATAAAGTAAAAATTACGTACGGATAAAGATATGCTTTAATACAGATACTGCTGTCTAAGGAACTATGGAAGATTATCTATATTTTTAGTTATTTGCACCGTATTTTAATCAATTAAAGATAAAAAAAGAAAATTGACCCGGACGTGATTCGAACACGCAGCCTTCTGATCTGGAGTCAGACGCGCTACCGTTGCGCCACCGGATCCGCTTAGTTTGTTTTTAGAAAACAACCTATTTTATCTAATATTATTGTTCATTGATGGTTCAAAGTTTTAGTCTCGGCTGGTTCATAGCAGTTATAAACGTATAGTTTATTAACAATTATCTAAAAATTAAAAAATACTCAATGGTTATAGAAGTATCAAGTATATTTGCAATTCACTAATATATATATTCTGGCAAACTTTAAACCAGTATATCTGATAAATTCTAAAAGGAGGAATTCGCCTGAATTGTCAGAAAATCACGCAATAAAAAGACTAAAAGAGCCTAAGCCTTCAAGTATATTAATATAAATACAACACCCAATTATTTTCAGTGTGTGAGCTCTCGGTAAAATGCCACGGGCTTTGAAAATTGTGGCCTGTTCTGTTTCGTAATCTTATATGCTTACGACCTTAAGAGTTAGTGTTTTTATTTTTATAGAGTTTGCTATCGTTACATGGTATAAATCTCTCCACTTCTGTATTTTTTGACAAACACTTTCATTTCCTCCTCAGTATCATTCACACACACTTTCATTTCTTCCTCAGTATCATTCACACAAACTTTCGTTTCTTCCTCAGTATCATTCACACACACTTCCACTTCCTCCTCAGTATCATTCGCACACACTTTCATATGAGCTTGTATCATTATCCCCCATTGGCACAGCGGTATGTCTACGGACTTACAACGCTAGAAACCGTGTTTCGATACCCATGGTGGGAAGAACATAGATAGCCTATTGTGCAGCTTTGTGCTTAATTACAAGCAAACAACAAATTGTAACATTAACATTTTCATCAACAGATAAATGATCGTGTTCACTTCATGTTGTTTAGTTATCACTACTAAGTCCTTAGTCATCTTCAGAATTGTAAATAATGTCTTTAGACGTCGTAGGTTCTGGAACTCACTTTACTTTCTTCGAAATGATTAGAGAAGATATCCAGAAGAAGGATAAAATTGGAATGAATTTTACACCCGAAGTACCAGCCTTTTGTGGATAAGAAATCTGACTTAGAATGTAGCAATAAGTTACTAGGCAACCAAACCGGAACACTAGGCCGGTTTGGCTATAAATCCTTATTTAAAGTTGTATCCGTATCAGTTGTTTAAAACACCAACTATACAAGTCTATATTGTTGTACAATATTTTTTGGGCTTTTCCTTCTCAGACAAAGCAGTTTTGACATTTCCTCATCATTTCTGAAACTAAATTTGGCTTTTATAAAAGTTTCGGTTAAGAACAAATAACTACTGTAAGAAGGAGACCATGTTAGAAGAAACTAAGCGTTTGAGTCTTAGGCTCAAGAATTACGAGTGGACAGAAATGCACGTGTTAGTTTGGCCAACCAGAAAAACACGTATGCTGTGTGAATGCAGTGCAAGCCTTGAAAAAGTTCACTGTATTTCAAGATGTTAGTCATCCTAACTGATCCGTAGTTGCTTCAGTTATAGTCTATAAGATACAGTTAAAGGTGGCCAAAGTTTCAGCTGGTGTGTGTGTTTATGGTTGTTCATTCTAACATTAGTGCAGCTGAACATTTGAAGGCCTTGTTACTAAAAATATCGAAACCGAACCGTAACGACGCCTTAATCCTCAGTGAGATGCTAACTTTTTCAGTCAATACCAGGAGGCTCTTAGTTATTGTGACAGTGTGTCATACGAAGCAGTCAGTTTATTTCCAGAAAGACTTGCGTGTTGAAAAAAAAACCGATATCAACTAGTACTTCCAACGAGATATGTGCGTTTCTACTTGCTAAACCTTAATAGAAAACAACAACTCTCAAATGCGTACATAACTCCTTGCGAGAGTTTTACACGACAGTTTTGTATGTATTTGTTCTGGATAACAAGTTAAATTATGTTGTCCAATTTTGGAATGTAAACATTATATACCAGTATAAAACCTTAATTAGGTCTTTAACCTAGACTTATAGTGTCGTCACTAAATATGTTGGCGTTCTTTCCATCCAAATACCAAGCTTGTTCTAAATTTATAACACAGTTTTCAAGCAAATAATAACCCTAAAGAGACAAGTACACGTATAAGAATGGAAGTAAAGAGAGAAATTCCAGATCTAAAACACCTAGAGTTCAAAACACCTAAAACACCTAAAACGCCTTCTGACCTAGAGTTCAACTTGCTGCCACTGGATCTGTGGATTTTATTTTTGGTGGGACGAAGGGGAGGAGGAGAGGGAAGGGTTAACTGCTTAGTAGTAAATTAATTCTTTAGCTTGATTACTTGAAAACAATTTCGACAAATATCTCTTCATAGAAATTCACTATATCTACCCAAGTTACTGAGATTCATTTGTATTAATAGTAATCATTAAAAAAGTTTATATTTATAAAACTATGGTTATAGAAAATATAAGGACGTGTTTTGTATACTTTAGGATTCAAACCGTAAACATAGTGTCTCAAACCCTACGTCATGTTTTAAAATCAACTTTTAGATACAATGTATTCACAGCATAATATATTTATCAACATCTTTGTCTATAATGTTCTATTGTTAGATCAAGGTGGTTCCGGTTTGTCATGTTATTCCATGAATATCTGATTATTTAACAATCTGGATTAACAAATATTGTTCTTTGTATTTTCAGGAGTTTAATGATTTTCGATCGAAGTGTGGGCTACTTTGGAGTTACGACTGGATTAGCACTCCCCTTGTGTATACTCAGGTATATTTTTATTTGCCTTGCTTGTATTTATATGTTCTTTTTTATATTAATCCTGAAAATTCACTTTTAGTTTCAAGGCGCGCCGAAAGCATTTTGGAATTGGAAGAGCAAAATGTATCAAATGGGCGTAATCATCTTCTTCATCGGGATTCGGTCCATGTTTTGGACCGGGGAAGGAGGGTCAGGTTCAGCGTAGACCTTTTCCTCCCTCTCTGGAATCATTTTGTTGTACTGCTACTGAATCCTAGGTAATAACCCTTGTTACATTGTTGTTGCATTACTCACAATATGTTAAATTTTGTCCATTGTTCGCATTTGTAATTAACACACCCTTTTCATGCCACGTACCACGTCTGAATTTTGATCGATACCCTGTGCGCGCAAGGGCTCGCTCTTTCATCGTGGGGTTCAGGGGCCTGCTTAAGGGCCTTTGGTGGAGTCCAACGGGGAAGCCATCAGAAGCTCTAGCGCTTTATATCACTTTTTTGATAAGAGCTACCTCTGAATGTTGCCAAGTTTTCGTTGATAAAACTATAAGGTATAGCTGAGTTCAGTCAAAATTTTGTTTACGTGTGTTGAACATTTTCTGTGTGGTAAAAAAAAAGAAAAAAATCCTTGCACAGGGGAAAAATTGCTTAATCTAGAACTCTAGGATAAGTCGTGTTAACTTTTTCTATCTCAGGGTAAGTTAGCGAGAGTTAATGTTTCAAGCTTCTATTTCACCCTCTCTCTGTATTCCTTCTCCCCAGTCTCTCCTCTCTCTGTTCTTTTCTCTCTCTCTCCTTCTTCTCTTTTATCAATTACGTATGTAGGCCTATTAGAGTGTCAATTGCATTCGTGATGTGGTTTGAATTTCGCGCAAAGCTACACGAGGGCTATCTGCGTTAGCCGTCCCTAATTTAGCAGTGTAAGACTAGAGAGAAGGCAGCTAGTCATCACCACACACCGCGAACTCTTGGGCTACTCGTTTACCAACGAATAGTGGGATTGACAGTCACTTATAACGCCCCCACGGCTGAAAGGGCGAGCATGTTTGGTGTGACGGGGCTTCGAACTCGAAAATTTTTATATTAATCCTTACTAATCATAATTTCAATTTTGACTGTATCCTTTTATGTATTATCATGTTTCTATTAATGCATTATCGTGGTTCTATTTATTGCATCTTAATTGAGTGAAATAAAATAAAGTGATTAAAAAATTAGATATATTAAACAGTTTGACGAAAAGGACTGGAATATAGTCCTCGAGTGAGTTTACAACTGTAACCATGAATTGTGTTGTAACATTTTGATCAAATTTCACAACTTTTTGTGGTATGAATTCAACTACCTCCTGTAATATCTGCATAACTATATATTTGGGAAACTATACGAAGTACCTGTGACGGATAATGACGTAATAGATTGATACTTAAAGGAATGCCTTTAAACAGTGAGGTGGAACGTGAAGGCCAATCAGATTAATATAGTGATGCTAATTACACATTAGAGTCATAAGTCTTATTTACTAGATGAGTGAAAACGCGTTTCTACGCTTGATGTTACTAAGGGAAATGAACTCATTCATTCTCTTGATAGTTTTAGAGAATAAACAACGAATTCAAACGTCGTTGTGTCATGTTCGATCTCAGGTTGGACTTCAACTGTTGCACTATATTGAAGGAATGCTCTGAACCATCATTTTAACGAGAGGCACTTAATTTTCTAATGACGGAATGTATTTAACATCCTGGTTTAATCCTGAATCATTTGATTTGAGGAGTTGAGAAAACACGTCTAGCTTCAACAGCCCGTCTTTCACTGGTGATTCATCTGGCTTTTCCAAGTTTGTGTTTATTCCAGCACCATCTGATTCTGTATATTTCCTTCCAAACAGATTTGATATCGAATGACATGTTCTAATGCTCTTCTCAAGTCGTCTAGTTTTCTGACAGTTTGACCCTGATGGTCTTCTCTTCATGAATAGACGATGCCTTGAAGTATCTGAAATAAAGATTGATACATAAGATCTTTGTCATAGGTACTGCAACAATTTACTAATTTATCTATAACAGTAGGAGACAGTTAAAAAAAACACAAAAACTCCTACCTATGCGGTGTTGTATTGCATTTCCATTTGAAATTGATGCCCTAGTCATCAAACTATTCAATAACCTGGTTAGTTAGATACTAAAGCAGAATCATATTGGCAATGGAATTATATGAAAATAACAGAACAGAGAAGGAGAGAGAGAGAGGTAGGGGTGGAGAGGTACCAGCTGTCTTTTGAATAATCTAAAACTCCTCCGATCATATATTCTGAGTGTAAATCGTGTAAAAGGTTCAGTAGCTCAGGAAATGAAGTTGAAATTGAAAATGAAGCTAACTTTGGAAAAAGTAATAAAAAATAATTGTTGAAATGCCATGAAGGTAAATATAAGCATGTAGAAAGTAAATATAATTTCCTTTATTGCATCTTTTCCAGTCTTTCTTTATTCAGAATTCTGTTTTGAAGCAAATGTTTGCATTACTACTTACACAACTTCAGAATGAAAGAGAACACAGATAACAAGATTTAAGAAGTCGTAAGAGGAGAAATATATTATCAAATATGCCTACAAATATAAACTGGGTACAAAATAAAGATACAAATCTCATATATATCGTAACAAGGTATCTTTGTGCAAATTCTCGACTAAGTTAGTCTTCATAGAGAGGAATGGAAGCCAAAAACCACAATTCTTCAAAATAGTTTGACTTTTGATCCTTATAAAATCGCAAAACCAACGTCAAAGCTGAATCACCTACCGCCTACACTCTACGCCTGCCCGCGATACGCAGCCGGCCAGGACAAGGGGCGAGAAGCAGTGAAAACTTCGGCAGTAGATGTGAATTTCTCGGTATAAAAATAAAATTAACTCTGGGTCAAAATCTCAAACGGAATTAGAGAATATAATATCGATCCATTAAGTCCTACCGAAAGCTATGGTAATAAGACTGAGTGAATTCCTGACTTACAGACTGAGTGAAAAACTAAAGTAGATGAATTGGCAGAGAACCATGTGACTTATTAAACCAATTTACGGGAAGCCATAGACGTTGAATGAGTGATAGAACCAAGGCAAAAAATGTGCCAGTTTGTTAGACGAAAGCAATGATAGTTTCAACTTACCTTATCCAAAAGTTTACAGGAAAAAATTGCAACATGAGTCGACGGACGACGAGTCAAAGGTCGAATTAATGGGCTTACAGAACGCTAAAATAGGCTCCGATCAGTTGAATATCGCATACTTTAATGCCGTGAGCGAAGGTGGGAATAGTTACAGAGCCTGTGTTGTCTATGATATCAATAATGATCAACAACTGACTCGTTTTTATAACTGACCCATTACATGAATATTCAGTAGATGGAAATTAAACTTTATAGGAAATAACTTTCCTGAATATGTTACTGAAAGTGACATCAGTAAGTTACGAATATTCACATTTTGCTCAGGTGTTGCATGGAAAACAAGCAAATTTTGCGGATACCGTTTCAATTTACTTTCTGTTTGAGTAACATGAGGGAAATTACTGACAGGGCTCTTCCTTCCATTTCTACCAAAAACGAGTTCCTCACAGTTCGCGACAAATATCAAGGATCCGCAAGTGTATAAGTAAATTGGTAGTTTGACAGTTTATCTCTGTAGCTATATCCATATTATTGTATGTGTCGATATGATCGGAGGAGCGATCAAGTGCTGTCTGTGTGTTTACGTGTTTTTTTATTTCTTTGCCATTAATCATTTACTTTTCTATTGTTGTTTTTGTCATTCTTCCTTTTCCCTGTTCGCCCTTTTCTATTTCTCGTTTTTCCTTATTTTTCGTAGTTTGCTAGGAGCATTTTTGGGAGGGGGCAAAAAGACCATTTGCCCCCAGTGAACTTTATGAGGCAGCTGCCCCTCACTTCCGGTCCCCCAGTGGCACTCGGTATGTCTGCGGATTTACAACGCTAGAAACCGGGTTTCGATACCCGTTGTGAGCAGAGCATAGATAGTCCATTGTGCTTAACTTTAAAAAACATACAAACCCTCACTTCCGACTCCTAGTTATTTTCAGAAGTATCACATAAAACTAAAACAAAGAACTACCTGCGTATTGTGAACGGATAGACTAGAAGTAAGGCAGACAGACAGACAGACAACAAAACCTATTGCAAATTCTTCGATTATGCTTGCCCGATCGACCGTTTTTCCTAGAACATATCCATATCTTCAAAGCGCAGAGTGCATTTTGGGGTAACGGGCCACGAACCATGAACCCTCTAATTCATAATCCTAACATGTAAACCACTAGGCCACGTTAAGTTCTCCACAAAATCTAAAAACAACTTATTTCTAAAATGGTTTGCTGATTAATAAATCAATTTGAAATCTTGATTTTATTGTCTTATAGATGAAGTAATTTCCAGCCAAGGCTGATACATTCTAAGGAACTTGAGAAGCGGTCATGTATCCACAATTTAAAACAACAATACAAATCCGTTAAAGCTTATACAATGATATCAAGACCCATTTTTGCTGTTGAATATTAAGAAATAGATTTATTTATATTGTTGGAAAGGAATATAAAGAAAATGTATCAGTACAACAGTGAATTATAGCGCCTTTAAAACCGTGTACTTTTTTCCTACAATGAGAATAATACTCATGATATTCAAAAACAATCAGGACCAACAGAAAAAAGTCAACATCAGAAAAAAAGAAAAAAGACTCAATAACCCGAGCGCTTTCGGAAAGTGGACTTTTGAAATATAATTTACCGTTGCGTAAGGATGGTCCAGTTTTCAAAAGCGCTCGGTTTATTGGGTTGCTTTTCCAGTGAGAATAATAAAGATTACTATATTTTAAAGTGATGGTCCAAAAAAGGCTGAAATGGTGAGACTTCTAAGTTTTAGATTTATATATCGATTTCTTAAAATAAATACCTGGTAGTAGTTTGAAAGAACTTTGTCAAAACATACACTTAAATGTAAGAACTATTTTTTATGGCGCATATTAGTGAGAGGCACTCATACTTCATTCTTTCATATAGGAATTATTAAAGAATTTTATAAATAATGAAATAAAATTAAATATCTTGCTGTCCAGGTCGTTACGTTGGCCACCTACACTTTCTTTGTCGCCTGTGTTTTTGGTCGTCAATACATCAACAGCCCGGACCCTGTTATCCAAGCTAAACGACCTTTCGACTACTACGTACCAGCATTCACCATTTTTCAATTCTTGTTCTACATGGGACTTTTGAAAGTAAGCACAACTGTTATGTTCATCAGAATATATTTTATAAAATAGCATTTTAAAATAATACATTATAATACAAAGACTTTGAAATAATTATTTGTTTTCCAAAGATTAAAGAAATAGCTTATTTGGTGTGTGGACTTCTCTTGCCTTGGTTTGGTGTCGAGTCGACATCATGGGCATAGATTATGCAGCCCGAAGTGTTGTAGCAAAAATGAACCAAGTCCAGAGAATTCACTAGACATTAGAGAAGTAACATAAAAATTACTTTTTCAACAAAGAAATTTAGAAAAATATTATAAACATATGTGTTTCTTTGCAGTTGAACCAATTAAAAAAAGGTACATAGAACGTCATTAAGCACTTCTTTATGATTTTATTGTAAGCGTGTTTTCAAAACACAAATTTCTATTGAGGGTGTATTTTTTTACTAAATGTCTGAGCTATATAAACTGAAGTAATGTTCTTGCGTCACATGGTGGGTGTTTTATATGTTTTATGATTAAACACCAAGAAAATGATTGTTTGTTTGTTTTTAATTGTGCACAAAGCTACACTAGGGGTATCTGTGCTCTGCCCATCACGGGTATCGAAACCCGGTTTCTAGCGTTGTAAGTCCGCAGACATACCGCTGTGCCACTGGGGGGGGGGGAGAAACTGATAAACAGCAAATACTAATATTAGGTTGTTGAAAACATTTCTATTTTGAGGTATTCGTTTTTATTTTTATCAATAAATTTTCAATATTTACGAATGGCAAAGCTGAATTTTTCCAAATTTTGAAAGGAACAAAAAAGTCACGTTATAGCCTACATAGTACAAAAAATACATAATATAATTATTCAATCGATAACACACTTAGTTATAAATAACTCATCAACTAAAGCAAAAATTATATATGTCAAATAATACTATACTATACTATATCAGAGTACACTGCAATATTCCGCCTTCAGTATGATATGCTGTATTTTACTGTGCCACACTTTAATGTAGTATGATATGCTGTATTTTACTGTGCTACACTTTAATGTAGTATGATATGCTGTATTTTACTGTGCCACACTTTAATGTAGTATGATATGCTGTATTTTACTGTGCCACACTTTAATGTAGTATGATATGAAGAATATTAATGTCAAACGAATATGCATCCTCATTCATCCCGATTTGTGTGTGTGTGTGAAATCTACGTCTTTTAGTCTCAAAACTACGTGTTGTGGTCTTTCATGTATTACGTTATGACGTTTTGTGAAAAATCTGTACGTGATGGAGAAAAATGGAAACCATTTTCGGATTCAGCATACTAAAATTACCGGAGAACATGTAAAAATGTCAATACAATAAAACCATCGCAGGTCTGTGTAATTAGAGGGTTAATAATAAACAGCATATCATACTACATTAAAGTGTAGCACAGTAAAATACAGCATATCATACTAAATTAAAGTGTGGCACACTAAAATACAGCATATCATACTACATTAAAGTGTAGCACAGTAAAATACAGCATATCATACTACATTAAAGTGTAGCACAGTAAAATACAACATATCATACTACATTAAAGTGTAGCACAGTAAAATACAAAGTGTAGTAGCTTTTATGTTGTATAATAATGAATTGTCCCTTGATAGAATGGTCTGAAGAAAAACTTTGGGTATTGATCGCTGAAAGGAATTTTTATCTTTTATTATATGTTGTGGGTGATATTGAGTCATTATGTTACAGTATACCATTGAATTTCATACAAAAATATAGTGAAGTGTATGAAGCACAGTGAAATATATTTTCATACAATATTGAATGGCGCAGTGTAGTTTTGATTAGTTTAACTCTCCATATGGATCCCATCGTACTCTATCGCATTCTTAAACACATTTTTTACAAACTCTTTATGAACCACATTTTCTTATGGATTCGTGATTTTTCTGTTTACAGGATCATTAGTATCATGTGAATAATATTAAAATTAAACAAAAATACCTTCAATATTACAATTAATTCTAGTAATTAATAAGTGTCGCAACAAGCAGAATAACATAAAATTAATTACTCAAAATGATGCAATATGTGGACCCCAAGAAGTTAAAAAGGTCAATAACACAGTCTTACAGAGTTAAACTTCATAATATGTGCTTTGGTTTTAATAACTCTTTTTTCCATAATTCATCTACGGAGATTTCGAAAATAATATTCATTTTTTTCTATCACGTGAGGATTTTTTTAGAAATCGTGGAGAAAAAAAAACTCTTACTTAGATCAAATTGTTATTTCGTTTACCACAATGAACATTTGTATTATTATGTTTGTTAACAAAAATACAAACAAACTGAAGAAAAGGGTTCATTACCCATTTAAGCCGTCTCCAGTCATTATTAGTCTCAAAGTGGGTTCCTCGTCATCGAATCATCCTACTTCACTATACATTAATGTGAACAAATACAGGGAACTACCAACACCGTCCTACTTCACCATACATTAATGTGAACAAATACAGGGAACTACCAACATCGTCCTACTTCACTATACATTAATGTGAACAAATACAGGGAACTACCAACACCGTCCTACTTCACTATACATTAATGTGAACAAATACAGGGAACTACCAACACCGTCCTACTTCACTATACATTAATGTGAACAAATACAGGGAACTACCAACACCGTCCTACTTCACTATACATTAAT